TCTAAACTAACACGAGTCTCATTAAGTGTCCAGTTTAAGGGTATTACACAGAAACATACCAAGGGAACATGAATCAAATATGTATCTTTATTTATTTACAACAAACTCATAAAGTACATCATTCTGATTGAAGCTAAGGGCATACAAAACTGTCTAACATTCGCTGCTCCCATCTAGGAGACTATCAAAGCTAAAACTAGACATGGAAATGACAACTGAATCAGAAAGGAGAACTAGGGAAGACTCACCAAGGAGAGACCAAACTCAAAGAAGACATCGAACTGGAAGAACTGAACTAAGGAACTTGAATGCGACCTCATATCGAAGGCTAGCGAATTTGTGGCGAAGCAAATGAGTCTCAGGCCCCTTATTTATAGCCGCTATGTCCAAAAATCAACAGTCGAGATCGAAGCAATCCAATGGCTCCTAGGAAAACCGGCTGTGCGACCCCCGAGGTTGAAATCGGTTTAGCGTGTTTTTGATGTCCGCGGAGTTTATAGATCGTGTGACGTCCGCGTGTAAACTAGACGCAACCTGGGTTATTCCTAGTTGAGTCGGGTAGCCAAACAGGTTCGACCAGCGATTCGCCCGACAAGCCGCCTGAACCTCGAGCCAAATCCCCTTGGACTCGTCATGAACTCCCCGCACCGGGTCAAGACCCCTGGCTCGGGGAGTCGGGGTCAATTGATGAAGGGTGATTTGGCCCGACTTAGTAAAGAGGGGACACGTGGACACGACCTGACCAAGAGATGACAACTCAGCCTTACACGATTAGTTCACAGTAGATCGAGCTCGGATATTCAACCACCTGGGGATAAGGTGACCTCGGGACACCTCGGACGAGATCACCTCGGTACTAGATCACAATAGATCACTTCGATTCCAAAGCACTTCGACATTCAATTCAGTTCGAAACCTAAAAGCATCAGCTCGGGGATACCAACTCCAGACTACTACGTGGTGACCTTGAAAATCCCTCCAACGGATTCTGAACCGCCCGTTATCACTCCGCGTAATAGCTAGCATTATCTCCTCCCCGCTCGATTCGGGCGGAATTGATAAGCCTTATCAATTGACGACGTTATCCCTTAATTAACGAAGAAACGGATCTCATCATGGCGAAGATCCCGAAACTGATCCGCGAAACCCGCGAGGACTCAGCTATATAAAGGCTCCAACCCCTGGGGCAAAAGGTACGTATGATTTTTCTGTTTTCTAACTCTCTACATTCTTAAGCTATTTCAACTCGCAACAAATATACTAAGTTAAGCATCAGAGCGACCTCATCGAACTAACCACCCCGAATTCTTTGATTGTACTCTTGCAGATCAACCTAGTCCGTTATCCAATTGAAAGACAAATCACCTCTAAGAAGGAGCAGTAGATCGCGCTACGTCACCATGCGTTCAACCTGTGCACACGATTTTTGTTGTTGGATACAGCATCTCCCTACGTACACATATATGTACTTGTTGAGTGTCAAATGGACAACATACAACTTCGTACATTGTGTGTATGTATGTATGTTGTAATCGCAATAAATGCCAACGTTGTCCTCATCCTCTCCTCCCACCAACTGCCAGTGCCCTGCATTGATTAAACAGAGGGTATGCCAGATGTTGCTGTTTTAAGACAGATGGTCATTAATCATAACACGTGGCTGTACTTGAAGATAGTCAAACGATGAAGAATTTGGTCAAAATAGTCAGGCTCTGCAGCTGGAATTAAATATGATACCATACTACAGTATATGAATGTAATGAAATTAGGCCCTTTATACAATGTCTCACTCGGAGGTATTATACAAAATGTTTCCGCTTGCTGAATGATGATAAATAGGAGCCCGGCTTCAGTCCGTGCAATCCTGTACTCACACCCTTCCAACAGTCTGTTGCAATCTTAACATTTTTGTATGAAATAAAACACATAAGTATGGGAATATTTTTAATCTAAGGCTGTAAAAAATGTTTGAATGAGTTTTTTATTGACTGAAGTCAAATTTTATAAATAGACAATCACTTGAGAGATGTCATTTGGGGGATGTTCCATTTTTGGATTTTGAGAGTGGGAAATCAAGATAATTATGTTCTTTTTTTTTCAGATTTATGTGAGATTGTAATGTTTCACAGGTGAGTAAGTAATTTTTCCATGGAGGGTTGGCAACATTTAGATGGGACAAAATTACTCTTTTATTGATAATTTTTTTTATGGTTAAAATGGTCATTATCTAAACTACCTAAAAAATAAAAGAATATAGGCAGATGCACTTATTGAGATAAGTGTTTCTTAAAAAATAATCACGCAAGTAAATAATTTCTATAAAAGCAAATGGGGCCTTGATATGTTATTATATTAGTTAAAATATCTAAATTCTAATTTAACTTAATTAAGGAAATTTTTAAAACAAATTTGATTTAGTTGAATGATTAAAATAAGAATTCAATTATATAATGAATATTTAGCTATACCTTAAATTCAGATGTCAATCAATCAGTTATTTTTAATTGGTTCATAGATTTTGCCTTGAAAGCAAACATATTGAGATGGGCCTCATAAGTCAATTATACTAGGCTTCATGTCTTTTTGCCCCAACTTAATTCTCTCTCTCTCTCAAAGCAAGGTAACAGGTTGTGTTTGGTTGTTTCCATGTGGTCCCTCGATAATACATCCAACTCCAACCAACCACTAGGAGATGGGTTCCCCTTTCCAAACAAAACAAAACAAGCCAATTCTAATCTGAGCTCCAAAGTCCAAACAAGGTATCCCGGCTGACAAGATGAACAAATTTATCTACGAAGATATGTAGCCCAGATGAGCTGATTTGGACCAGCATCCAATCATTTTTATGGCTACATTGCTATATATACCCTTTGGCGGACGTGATGCAATTTGGCTTTGGCTTTCATATCATGAATCATAAACAGGCAGGCGTGCTGCCACTTGGGAAGGCTTTTCTTTTTCCACCACTTTCTTTGTAATTGGAATTTCGACTTTTAGGCACCCAGAGAGCCCAACACATTACAGCTATATATATATATATATATATATATATATATTGGTGAAAACGCAGATTCGATGATAAAAGATACGCCACGAAATATGGTGAAAACACAAAATTTTCCAACCATCGTTGGCTTTTTGTTTATGGTTTTACTTCTTGTCGGTCTCCCTCCATCTTTCCCCAACCTTTTCTCATCCAGACAAAAGAAAAGAGAAAAAGAATAGAAAAGAAAAAGAAAGAAAAACACCCAGGAAAACACTGGCATTTTGTTGTTCGTTTCGTGTCATAAATCATAATGGTCTAATTCTACCGTTCCCGACTCAAATCCTATCACCTACTTAACTCCAATGTCGATCTAATACCAACAAATCCCTCCAAATTCCAAACCCATCATCAGCTCTGCCTCTCTCTCTCTCTCTCTGCTTCTAGATTCTACAGAGTGGAATATGATACGAGGGTCCTCATTTGAAACTGGAAGGGAAAACCAATACCAATGCTGTTACAGAATGCAATCAACTTGATACAGTGGAAGCACTTGTTAGATTAAAGGAACACACTGGAGTCGGGACTTTGTTAGATTGAGTAATTTTTCTCCATTATAAGATGTTTGAATTTTCTGATAACTTTCAACAAGCACATATATAGATCATCTATCAGTTCCAAACTGGAAAAGAAAATGGAAAAGACAATTAAAACTATGCAAGTACCCATTGCAAAGCAAACAGGAGACGACCTACAAGTAAGCAAACAGCATTTTTTCCATAATGCTAGTAGAACACAAAAGTATACATACAAGTCCATACCATGGACGTTTTTCCAAAAGTATTTTTTTTTTTGGTTTTCCCTCACTTGATGAAACCAACCCTTTATATAAACAACATTCATTAGCAGTAAAGTGACCACCAAACATTACCCCCACACTCCTGTCGCCCCCTTCTTCGTGGTCACAACAGAATGTTAGAAGGGGTAAGCTTTAAACTTGGTGGATCTTCCAAACCCAGTAGTAGTCATCATCAGGCGGCTCCTGCCCTGAGTAATTACTATATAGCTTCATAGAACAAAGTCACACGTAGTTCAGTGCTTGAATCACTACCAAAACCCATTTCTCTCTATCAACTATGAACAACCAACCTGTCTCAGACAGAGGAAGAGAGACCTCATTGCGTTGGCGTTGCCACTGCAACTCTGCAACTGATCATCACAGTAAGCGGTATTACTACACAATCTCATAAGCTGCACACCATCACCCCCACAAAAAAAATAAAAGCCAGAAGGGAAAACTAAAAATAACCCCGCATGAAAATGTCAAGCCTGTCTGTCCTGTCTATAGGTAAAGTAAGTGTATTAACAGTTAGAATTCACGAAGTGCTTAATCTCTTCCATGACTGTATAGAAGTGGTTGTTATTGGGCAACAAGTAGAAGCCGATGGTGGCCTGCTCCAGATATATGAGCTTCACGTCCTGACCAGCCTTCTTCAGACCTTCCACATAGGCCAACTGCCAATCCTGCACAAGGTCGAGACCTGCCACCACAACCAGGCTCTTCGGGAACTTGACTCCCTTGAGGCTTTTGCCACTGGGACCAAATGGGTTACATGCTGGGTGGTCTCTATCAGTTCCTTCTGGAAGAAAAGCTCTCCAATACCAGTCCCTGTCCTGAATGGTCACAAAGTACTTCCCGTCCAATCTCTTCTCCGACTCCGTCCTTTCTTTCCCGCCGAACATGGCATTCAGTAGTATATTTCCCTTTACTTGGATGTCTGATTCCACTGCCTTGAGAGCAACATGGTGGACAATGTTACCTCCAGAACTATCTCCTGCTAAGTAAATGTGGACTTTGGAGTCCTTCCCGCTCTGAAGCCACTGCCTGGAGTTAACCCATTTGAGAGCTGCCCACCCATCCTCGTAGGCGCATGGATACCGGTTTTCTGGTGCACGACGATAATTCACAGACACCACAACAGCGTTGCACATGTTCACAAGGCGACGACAGAGTGTATCGTAGATGGCACTGTTCGAAGAAGAGTGTGCAAAGCTGCCTCCGTGGAAGAAAATTATGACCGGAACCACTTCCGTGCTCAGTGGCCTTTCCAGCTCCATGATGCCGCCTGGCTGAGCTTCGTCTGCTGGGGCTGGCCGGTATATCCTGCTAAGGAGGCTGGTCGCCCGGTCCACGATGACATCGAAGGAGAACACCCCGTCCACCGGGGTTGTGTTGGCGGGGACTTTCCGGTCGAGGAACTCCGCCAGGTGGCGGTTGAACGTACCGTCCGGACGGCGGAGGAGGTTGTAGGCCACCTTGAAATTGGAAATAAGAATCCATGTATTGAGCGGAACCACCATCTGCACAGTGACAGAGTTAGAAATTATTCAAATAGCAAGAACAACAATACCCAAAATTAAAGAGATTACACTGTTTATCTGCTTCTATTCCAATTAAAAGGAATGAATATTTTCAAAGAAAAAAGATAAAAAAAAAAAGAAAAGAAACACTACTACTCTACTTAATTCCTACACCAGAGTATAAAAGCAATAAAACCTCATGCTGAGAGAAACCCTAGAAATTCCACGGACGAACTGGGAAACCTAGAAAGAAATGGAAATTTCAATTCGACAACAAGCCCTCACAGAGCATAATTAGCCAAGACGACCCAATATTCATCTATACTCCTTCAAATCAAATCAAAACCCTAAATCGAATTGCTCTGCTCTAAAGCCCTTCAACCGCCAAGATCAACAAAATTGAAACTTAAGACTCAATAAAGAGAATCCAAGCAGGACCCAGACTAATCAACCCTTTCTTTCTCCCCCCGAAACAAGATTGAACACAGAGCATATAAAATGAGTAGAAAAAAGAGGGGAAAAAAAAGAAAAATGAATACCTTGGCCTCATTGAGGTTAATTTCGTTACCTCCAGCCATCACACAAAGAAGTCAAAGAATCAACACAACGAAGAACCCTAGGAACAACCAGAGACGGTCTCAAAGTTTCCACCTTTACTAACCATCACGCTTCGGAGCAACAAAATCCAAACCCTAATCCCGCAAGCTTCTCTTTTTTGCCGCCTTGTTTAAGCCCCGAAGAAGAAGAGAAAACTCAGCAAATAAAAACAATGGAGTCTCTCAGTACACGTGAGCATAGAAGATCAAAGAAATAACAGGGAAGAGAGAGGAGAGACCGAAGGGGGTAGAGGGGAGAGGAGTGCGAAGGATAAGAGGAGCGGCGCACGCGAGTCGAGAGCTAAGGCGTGGAGTCAAACGCTAAGGAACGACGGGGGTGGACGGAGACGAGGGAGACGACAAAGCGGGCGGCCGAAATAAACTGTTTTATGGGCCCCATGATCCATAATTAGTTAATTAAACTATATTCGCCCTCGGTTTCTTTAATTTTTTTATAAATAAATCAATGAAACAGATAAATAAGAAAAAAAAGCAAGCATAGCAGAAACCAGAAATTTACGCAAAATAAAAAAAAAATTAAAGGGAAGGAGACAAAAGTTTTTTCCTGCGTGTGGCCCTAGTGAAGGCGCGTCACGACAAATTGCCCCCCCTTCCATGCAAAATGACAAATTTCACCTAGGGTGATGGCTTAATTACGTGACGTGCCATTCGAAACGTGAAATGAAGACTTGTTTGGTTTGGAATTTGTCGTTCTCTCTTGGATCGTTTATTAGTGAGGGCTCTACTTCATCTGAACACGTGGCATGCTGCGAAGAGGCTGGGACCCGGCCACCCTCGGCCCACATTAGAATATCTGTGACGTCTCACGCGTCACGCCCAAAATGAATGCGATGTATCAAAATGGTTGTGGTTGTGGTCGTGGTTGTGCAAGTCCAATCAATCACGCAGTCCCTTTGCTAAAGTTGGAAGGGTCATCCATTTCCTCTGGACGTAGGACCCACCGTAGGGAAAATGCTGTTATCCTCCGGATGCGCCACGTGTCAGTTCCGTAGAACTTCATCACCTCTAGGGTATTTTCGTCTTTCAAAGTGAGCAACGTATCGCGATTGTATTAGGAGGAGAGGGAATTTGGGCAACGTATCCACCGTTGGTTTACCAAAATTTGACAAAAGATCCAAACTACGATAAAAGCGCTGGCGTACCTTAGCGAAGTACAGAGATACTGTGTACTTGGAGCTCAAAACACCATTTGCAGTTTGGGCGCGGACCACCTCTGAATAAATCAGGACCGTTCAGCGGGGGGGCCACCCGCTCGAGTGAAATGTCCTAAACGAATTTAGTAATCCTAAGAAGATTCTTTGGTTGTGCCGTCTATCCCTACAAGTGTAAAGGGTAAAGCAAACACAACGCTACACCAGATTCTCTTCTCCCATTGGAAGGATGTGATCTTTAGGTAAGCGGGTGGCCCACAATCTGGACGTCTAAAATTAGGTCTATGTAGCCAAGCTCGTATGCACGTAATATATTATACTATTGATATTCGTATTCCACTTCGACTCGGTACCATGTCTTTCCGTCATTATAGATTTTTCCGAAATTACCATGTTCGAGTATATTGACATATCGTCTCATTTCATTTCATATGAGCAAAGGAAGATTTCATTTCATATGCTTCTCCTTTGATGCAAATCATATTTTACAGGTGCTTAATTCTTTTTATAAATGGTCGGGCCAGTAAATAAATTTTCAGAAATCTGCTATTCACTTTAGTGCTAACACTCATAAGAAAATGAAATTTCTTGTTCTTTCAAAATTTGGTGTTCCCACAATGAAAAGGCAAATGACAAATATCTTGACGGCTCTTTGCTTCTGGGAAGATCTAAAATTCAGGAATAGAGATTCTCAGTTGATAGACTTAAATCCAATTTGGCGGGTGGGAAGAAGTGCATTCTGTCCCATGCGGGTAGATCTGTATTCATCAAATCTACTCTCCAAGTAATTCCTCAGTACATCATGCACATTTACCTTCTTCCTAAGCAAACATGCACTGAGCTCAATAATATTTGTCGTAATTTCTGGTGTGGTTCTTGCTCTGTCAATCTAATGCTTGTAGAGGACTGGGTTTTCGTGACTTATAAAGCCCATATCATGAAGTTGGGTTGGAGGTTACTCAAATTCCGTCATCCCTGTGGGCGAAGGTTCTGCGTGTCAAATATTTCAGAAATTCCAATATTTGGAAATCAAAATCAAAACCGTGTGACTCATATATTTGGCTAGGTATCCTTGCTGCAAATCTCACCTTCACCAAGGCTATCGTTGGATTATTGGCAATGGGTGGAATATTGATGCTTCATCAAACCCTTGGCTGCCTCATGATGTGGATATCTCTAATCTATCTCATGAAAATAGTTCTTTGAAAGTGGCGGAGCTCATCGACCATCTTTCTATGACTTGGAACCATCGACTGGTAAATCAACTTTTTTCACCTCATGCAGCTAAGAAGTTCTTACCTTAAATCTCCCATTGTGCAGTAATATTATGGATGACCAGTTGGTTTCCACCCTTGCCCCTCATAGGCAATTCACCACCTCCTCTGCCCATCGGCTCCTATTATCAGAACTCACTAGCTCCACAAAGACGAATTTCTTGTATGGGGACTGTGAATGGTCAAAGTTCTGGAAACTCAAGTGGATTTGTCCCAAAATCATGATGTTTCTTTGGAGGGCTTCAAATGATGCTCTCCCCACAAAGCAGAGACTAAAAGTATGAAGGTACAATTTTGATGCTTGTTGCCCATTTTGTATGTTTGATGAGGAATCGGTTGAACATCTATTCCTCAAGTGCCCTACTGCAAAACTGGTTTGGTTTGGTTTGGCTCTGAACTGGGTATCGAATTGAGCTATTTCAGTCTCTACCTGACTTACTTTCCTTCTAGATCTCCCCGGGGCCCCTTTAATTCCTCCCCATATCCTCCTTACCTATTAGCCTTTTCCATCTTGTAGCATCTTTGGCTGGCGCGTAATGCGATTTTATTTCGAAAAGAAGCTTGGTCTCCTGATCTGATGCTTAGTAAGGCCTGAAACTTTGTCAATCAATCTTTGGTTTGGGTCCTTCCTAATTCTGATGTTCTGTCAGCTGCTTCTCCCCCTATTAGATGGTTAGATGGTGTAAACCCTCTACTGGTATGGTCAAGATAAATTTCGACGGTGCCACTTCTTCAGATTGTACAGCTACTGGTTGTATCATCAGGGACCATCATGGAATTTTGATTTATGCTCCAGCTGTTCCTCTCGGTGTGTTTATACTCTTTCATAATGGCAAGAATATTCTGAATCACCACCCGGATTTCTCAATATTTTTTCATCGAGATCGACAAATAAGGCGGTTCATGCTTTAGCTCATTTTGGTTTGACTTGTTTCTCTTCTTATACTTGGTCATATTTTCCAGTATTTTTGAAGAAAATTATAGAAAAAGAGTCTACTAAGATGTCTTATGAATTCTAGAATATTTGGCCTTTTCATCAAAACCTCACACTCACGATCGGACAATATGAATGTGTACCATTCATTAGGCTGATATGATACGAGCTAAAATCTACTATCCACAAATTCCCTACACATTTGACACTATAGGCGTGCATTGAGATCGAATTTCAATATATGAATATTGAAGATTAATATCTGAATTCAAATTTGATTAAATCTGAATTTGAAAACTAATGAGGTGACGACGACAAAGAAGGGTTCAATAAGGTCCATTAACTTTTATCATAGAGAAATTGCAATTTCCTAGGTTTGATGCCATGCCTTAATATTTGAAAGAATGCCAATTGACCATCTCAGCTAATGGTCATCAGTCAAAGTGTAAAGTAAACTTGGGAGGTAAATTTGTTCTATTAACATATTTATATATAACTTTTATGTATTCTCAATTATTCCATTATACTCCTACATTTTTTACATAAAAAATGCTTGAGTGCATTTGGCCCTGTGTATGTCGGTGTGCACTTCCAATTAAAACATTCCACGTTACACTTTGTATTGGCAATCTCACTCATATGTAATGAGCTTTACTTAGTGACACTTCGCTTTTCGCTTTCTTCCTTTGATACTTTAAAACATAAAAGAAAGGGTTAAAAAGTAAAGCTTCCAATTCTAGAGAATTAGGCATGACTCCCGTACTCGGGGCTATTAATATGAACTATTATAAATTTTCAATTTTTTTGAATTATTTATATTAAAAATTTAGGTTAGGTTTTTCATTTATTGTTTCGATTTAAGAGACTTACCATATTTGATCTAGTATGTAATCTTGTTATGGGGCAGTCATACATATGTATCACTTTGGTTTTTGTTTTTTTTAGTAATATTATTTTATTTGAGTTTCACTATTTGTCTAATAATTATATTTATATTTGAAATTCAAATAAAACTAACTATTGAAATTGCAAACAATAGAATGAAGTGGTTGTAGGTAGAAGTATTTGTAGATAACCACTTTTACATTTCTTGCATTTTTTTAGGAATGGATGAGAATGGGAGCTTCCCAAGTCTCATGTATTTCTAAAGAACTATTGTGGAATGTATGACACCTGTATTAGAGTGCCACATGTCTGAATTCAAAAATTTAAATGTGGTTAAAAGCAATTTATGTATACGAATGAGGAGTGGGTTTTCTCTTTGAAAATATGAACAACCAACTTTCGAGATGCTTTTTCTAGAAAGTTGAGGTTGCCACGTGTCTGAATGGTGGGGGGATATGGCCCGAAGGCCTTCTTTTAATATATATATATATATATATATATATGATAAAAATAAATAAAAAAGTTGTAGAAGATACACCACTTGGATTGCAAACTAAGGGCTGAAAAAAAAAAGGAAAAATGCCATTAACAAGTCGCAAGGAGTAGAACCCATTTATAGATTTCCTTATTTTATTTTCTTCAATCTTTAGCCAAGGGACCAAATACAGGGGAAAAAAAAAAGAAAAAAAAGGGAAGATAAGAAAAGGGTGGGGGGGATTATTTGGAAAGAGAGGTTTTTATTTTCTTGCTCTTAAATCTTTAGGAAAGAGTCAATGGGTGGCATTCATTTACCTTGAGTTTTCTTCTTCAATCTTCAGGCAAGGCTAAAGAAAAAAAGGGAAGATAAGAAAAGGGTGGGGGTGGGGGTGGGGGGGATTATTTGGAAAGAGGTTTTTATTTTCTTGTTCTTATAATCTTTAGCAAAGAGTCAATGGGTGGCATTCATTTACCTTGAGTTTTCTCCTTCGATCTTCAGGCAAGGCTACAAGTCACTTTTTGCTATTTTAGTAGTCCAGGATTAACGAATCTTTTGACCGATGAGTCACAGGTAAAATATCAAGATCAGATGGAAGGCTAATCCATTAAAGTTGTACCAATGAAAAATCTGCGATTGTTAGGCATATGGAAGAAG